TTCGACGGTATTTTAACTTCTACAGTAAACGGGTGTTAAACAGCGCCATTTTGTTGGATCGAGCAAGTACTTGTTCGACACTAGTGAATACACTTCAATCCGTAGGAATGCATGACAGAAATATACGCCAGAATTGCGGTATTTTAGCCAGCTGCTACCTACAGCACCGCAGCCAATCTCCTTGATTGGCAGTTACCCGGATATTCACGGCGTACCGCACCGTGCGTTTGTTTCTAGAAGCCTAGAAACCTTTAAAGAAGGTTGGTGTTCTGGAACCAAAAACTCAGAAAAATCTACAATTATTAAAAAAATATGGGGTTTTATGAAAAAGTTAGTTTCATAAAAAGTTATGCATGTTCTTCAAAAGTATCTAGGCAGTTGTTATCAATAGACGTTTACAAATGGACACTTTGTGATTGAACCGTCGTCGAAGCAGTCTTACGATTGGGCCCAACGTTATTAGGTAATGTCAACCATCGTTTTCAGTTTCTGAAGGCCGTTTCAGTGCATCCTGCAACCGAAAACTCAGTGAATATCGTCAATGTACAGAATTCTGCTGCAGATCAGAGCTGATCTTCATTTCCAGGACTTTTGAAAATTAGATAGGGTAGAAATAAATGATTGTGAAATGAGAGTGACCCGAAGTTTTATAGAATTTCTTCAACATTTGCTATTAAAATCATTCGCATGAAAATACCACTTTGTTCTTATAAAATATTCATGTCCAAGCGAATATACTGTATCTTAGACATTAATATATTTAAATAGTATTTGTCATTTAGTTATTTAATCAGTTTAGTCTCGATTCGCGGGATGCGCAACCCCGTCGAATCTAGATCAAGATCCACAAGTATCTTATATTCCAAGGTGGCTAGCTACCTGCGGATAGGGTCAAGCCTGGTTTAGTTGACGTTCAGTTTATCGTTGAATAACGAATTCTTGCTTGTTGCCGGGCTCATGGCTTTCAGAGGTGCATTTTTGATGCCGTATTTATATAAAACTGCAGTATAATACAGTAATCAAGATAAAATGGAAAAGAACTATCTCAGATTGAATGTTCAAATAAACATTACCCCGATGTTTGAGAATGGTTACCAAAATGCTGTTGGTAAGTAACATATTTCAAATACTTATATGGACTTCACACAACAGTTGGCAAAGGTACTGTGCACATAATCTTATACTCTATGCCATAAATAATAATGCATTATGTGAAAAAATTTTTGCTTTCCATGCGCTGTGCTTAAAAATAGAAAAGATTTTATTTACCTGACCAGTAGTTTCATAAAGGTCATTTTATGAATATTTTGGTTTTACACTCATTTTTTTCGCCATATAGTCCATTAAACTGAAGATATACTGTATCTATAATGTGTCGAGTTGAATGCGATATGTACTTACATATTGAATCTACTGTGGACCTCTGCGAGTCCGGATCAAGTCAAGTACCAGTGATTGTCCATAGATGTCTCCCGCTGTACTTGTAATTAAACTTTGGACATGTCGCAGCCATTTTGACTGCCAGCTGGCCAAGAGGTCGGTGGGTTATATGATGATAAATTGCACCATGTGACTGTCTCAGCGTATGCGTAGTTTCTGACAGAACTACGAATGAGTCTGCCTATGAGGAAATTTCATTTATATTACAAGCTAACACGGGAGGATTCGATATCACTATGTATTTATTCCCCATTCTGGATATGATGTGATTTCCAGTAGAATCGCGCGATATGCATTTCATTTTCAACGAAAGACTGCGGTAGAGGCTTAATAACTCATAAGTAATTTATTCTTTTAGTAACCAATTAGAGGAAACGCCAGCGGCTGCCGTAAACAATGACAAACCGTTCACTTGTTGATGAAGACCCT